GTGTGCGGTGTAGTGATGAATTGTTTGTTGCGTGGATTTAGATGAATCAAAATAATGCAGTGAAATATGAAAAGATTACGGAAAGATAAAGGATGAGACCTGTTGCGTTAGAGATTGATTGATTACGTAGCTTTAGCGTTTATCTCAGTAAATTGCCTCAGAAACGTCGAATAACCCAAAGCATCCCAAATGAATGATATTCATTTCGAGTGTTGCTCATAGATGGTTATTTTTGAATGAATGAACGATGTTGTTATGCATTTCGCATCTTTGAAACGACTTCGTTCATGCCACAAAACTCAATCAAAAATTCCTCCATTCTACTTGAATAGACACATCCATATCCGATAATATCAGTATGCTTCATATGAATACAAATTGAATTTCGGATTCTCAAGCAGTCGAAATCAGCGGCTGTGATTAAACGCGGATTTTATATTTTTTGATATTTTTATAACTAAATGAGGTAATTCAACATGAAATATCAATTGCAACAAATATTGAGAATTAAATCAATGATTTTTGAATAACATAAAATCGATAATAATTTAGAGTTCTCATTGAATGAAATGGTGAAGAGGTGGAAAAGTGGTTCATTGAATACTTTTATCGCCTTAAATAGCTTCATCGACTTTCAGAGCTGTCATCAGTGAGAATTTGAATTGAACGATTCTTTTAAAGAAATATTTCAATGATCAGAAACGATCTTCACTTTCCCGACCTTTTCTACCATGTTCATTCACTTCATCTATACAAACTGCCATTCCGGTCTGCATCTTTCCTACATTTTTATTCTCATTTCTGAATATATCTCTTGAAATGAATTTTGCTTTCGTTCAGTCCGAATGGAATTATGTAAAATTGATGTGTGAAAATAAATTCATTGATGACAACGACGATGTTAATGTTGGACATTTTTATTCTTAATTGTCAATGGATTAAACATGTTTCTATAACGAATATGTTTATATAAAAATCATAAATGCTGAAAACTGTCACATTATATGCACTACAACACTAAACAAATAAGGTTCAGGTAAAAAAANGAACTAAATCCATCTTTAACCAGAGACTGTTTTTTTTCCAATTACTGATTTTTTCGTAAAAACCACACATCTGCGTAATTCACATCTGCAGACTGACTAACTGACTGCTTTCACTGGCACTGGCAACTTGTTGTGAAGATATTCGTGAAGGAAAACAATTTTTGCGTTATAAAATGTAAACATAAATTTCAAATATTGTAACTAAAAACCATACAGTATTAACATACAATAATTGATGGCAAGTAATGGCATAACAAGGCTTTTATTTACGTGCATTCTTGTGGTATACATGAATTTGATGCTCGTTTAGCAGAGCTGCCCTCCGACCAACTGCAAACTGGGAAGAGGTTCGATGATTTCGAATCAATACTTTTTACTTCCTGTTATTACTTTTATTACTTCTCGACCTTGGGCGATAGCAAACTAATCAAAATGATTATTATTCTTCATCACCTTGAAACGTTTAACAATTCGTGAATTTTATTAAATACATATTGTTTGCTGACAAATTTTTCAGCTGATTAATATCACTTATTCGTGCAACGCTCAAAATGCTTATTGTTAGGATCGACAAATTGAATCATTGATTGATGGTAGATCACAATAATGGGATCGACTTAGTGCCTGAAAACGCGAAACTTTGAAGGTGTTGATGGCTGGACTTTGAGGAAGTCAGGAAGATTCAGACATTCNCTCACAACGAAAAAATGAATCAGAATTAAAGATGAATGCCGCCGAATCTCGATTTGCTCAGTTATCGTGAGGGTGAATAATGGAATTTCGATGATCACTTTAAACTTTAATTAGAATTACGTGATGTGCACAAATTTTGGAACATGAATCCTCTGAAATGTAATCAGTGATTTCGAGTAAAAATCGAAAATTATTATCATCAAGAATTGTGTGATCTTATCACCAAAAATATTACACATCCTTCAAATGTTATTTCTTCGCCGGTTCGTATTGAAATAAGACTCGTAGAATATTGAATTAAAAAACTGAATAAAATTTAAATGAACTTAAATGAGGTCTAAAAGTCACCGAATCATATCTTCAATATCAACGAGCATCGAGTCCTGCTGCATATGCAGAGAGTCTCTCTCAACCAATAACCTCATTAGTTCTGCATTCTCCACTAAAATTTCATTTTATAAATTTATGAAGGCAACAAAGAGCAATTTCTAATTTCTTGCGCCCGCTACAGCTTGCAATCGTCGTCCTTAAGTGAAACAATAGTTGCGACTTTCTACTTGTGGTTAATTTAATGACCTAAAAAAAGAATTTGTAAAGAATTGGCATAAATGTTGGAAACATGAGTTGAGCAGACCATAAGAATGAACCACGTCATTAGTTTAATAGTAGGGAAACTCGGATGGAATGATACGAGGATGAACGCAGACAACGATAATTATTGTTCAATTCAGCATTCAGCGAACGTCTCAATTAAAGTAAAATTTTCGAGTGAGTGAAAGATATCAGTTGATGAAACGATACTGACCATCGATTCGCTTGCTCAACTGATCGTAAATCTCCATCAATTGTCGACAGCTCATTTTTGAAAGTTGTATCCTGAAAAATTTATCGAATTTTTGCTGACATCAAATCATATTTTTACTTTGAAAAAGTGCAGAGTTCACGCGTTTATGGAATTTACTGAAATTCAGCAGATTTCCTTCAATATATGAGAAGCGATTGTTCAAATGAACATTTTCGAACAGATCTGCTAAAAGTTCGCCCATTTAAAAAAGCGCCCATTAAGATATTAACACTGAATGAATGCCATATGTGTGAGTTGATAAAAAATGGTCCAAACTACACAAATGCAAATTCTATGTGATTTGCTCAGAAATTACTGCGCTTGTAAACTGTAAAACATTCACTAGCAGAACTATACGATAGGCAAAATAATCATCTCGTAAAATTTATTCGTTTGGTTGTCTTCGAACCGAAATAACGAAACTGATCGCAAAGAAGAGTTTCGGTACAACAAAGTTCTAGAGTTTATTCTTTGATGTGAATGTATTGAAAGAATTGGGATGATTTTGATCCAAAAACCGATTCAATTAGAGATAGGAGGCATTGAAACGGAATGCGATAAATGAAAATTGTTCGAGAATCGAATACCACAAATCTGATTTGTGTTCTCACCAACTGCATCACCACAATACTTCCGAATGAATAATCAACTCAATTTCCAATGTAAAATGATTCGAAATTATTGAGAATTGTTGCAGAAATTTCATCAATCAAAAAAGAAGAAAGTGATCTAAATCGAACCTTGTTACTTTTTTGGGAAGTTTACTACTTCGAGGTGCATATAATTTTTCGAGTTCCATTTGCATCTTCGCAGTTTGCTTTGCCTTGGCAAGCATCAGTTTTGTTTCATTCTCCAGAACGAGTCGCCTTTCATCTGAAGAACATAAAATTGAAACAAATGACGAGATAAATGAAAGAATATTTACTGTTTGTTCCTCTCAAATCGCAATTGTTTTGTATTTGCCGAACGTACAAATGATGCGAAAACGATGTTAAGGACAGTTTATGTCTATCTGAAATAATTATGCACGAAAATGTTCAGTTACTGTGCATCAGCATCGCTACAGCATCTCCTGATTATGTTATACTTTGGTTCTCATTCCAAAGTTTCACGATACAGGTATTTCAGTCACTCAGTCGCAACTAATAACACTGATCAACAGCCATAAGGCTTCCGAGAGCGCAGTGGTAATTTTCGGTTAATTTTAGGTCACTGATAATATATATCATTGTTTAAACTGTTTGTCAGCTCTAATTTTGAAGGTATACGTGCATGTCATAACGTATTCTATCAGGCTTCCGACCGTGTATTTCTCAAACACTCA